GCGATTTGGAGCCCAAAAATTCACCGCTGTGAAGGAGGACTGCTGGCTACACGATCGACGAATCGCCGGTGTGAAATCCACGTCCAACATCCTGTCTTTGCTAATTTTTTTTCGCTCTCTTTTGTAATTCATCATTTTCTCCATTTTCTATAAGAATAAGATCAATTGGCAAGCACTTTAAGTGAAGTCTTCTATATACAAGCTGTGTGCTTATCTATATTATATAAATATTAAACGTATTAATACTATGGGACCCTTTCATCGATGCAGGGCATTATGTTGTTGCCTATGCTAAAAATACTCAAGGCCGGCCTGGTTTAATTTAATAACTTCTACATATTTGGACATATTGATAATATTAAACATTAGAGAGTTTTTCATTAAAGAGTATTGACATGTTATAATTTTTTGCATTCTAGTTGTTTATTTTTTCTAATTGAGGTGACTTATATAAGTTTTATGTTTTATTATAAAAATTTTATGGACATGAGAAATATAATTTTGTTATTGCGTATGTTGGATCATTTTGTCACTCAAGTAGAAGTCAACAATATTAATATATTATAGTGCATAAATAAGTAATTCAATAAAACATATGTAGAATAAGTTATAAGTGCATAGAACTTTATATATGAGATTTTTTCTAAAATGAAAAGTATTTAAAAGTCAAATAAATTCTATAATGTCTACAAAAGTTTTTAAATGAAAATCTACAAAAGTTATTTGCTTAAAAATTTTATAAATATTTTTAAAATTCTAAATTGAGTACATTTACCTTAATTTACTTTTAACTTTTAATTTTTTAACAACATGGCCAACTACATCGACCCCTTCGATCCCTGGACTTGCTAGACATGACTTATTCATTATGATGAGTTAAACTTTTTAATTTTTTTCTTAACACTTCACACTCCTTAAGTTTCAAAGAAACAAACAAGCTCCAACTCTTATAAAGGGAAAGACAAACTACTCGTTTTGTCTTAATTTCTAAGATTTCAGTTTATGAATGCTAATATTCCAACAAATGGTGTTAATATTGGCAGTGTGTTTTCTGGTGGTTGCTTTTGTTTTCTACGATTTTTTATGTTTAGCAATTTCCTTTTTGTTCTGTTATGATATTTGTCATAAAATCCCAATTTTTGGTGAATTTCAAGAATTTTAATAAAGTTCAGAGTTTTGGTGCTATAATTGAGGTTAAGTCCATACTTGATGGAAATTAAAATTAGATTTTTAACAGATTATAATAAAAGTTGATAAAATGTATGATTAAAAAGTCGTGAAATTCATAAAATATGTAATTAAAATTAATTGTTTCCTTTGTTAAAAATTTAAATTATAATTTATATCAAACAGGGGCAAAATATAAAAATATTGAGAATTGTGCTACTTTAAACTTAAAAGTGATATAGCTGCTCTATTATCATGCAATTGTTGTACAATGTGGATATGAACCCGAGAGGCACAGAAGTTTGGATGATTATGATTATTAAGCCCTTGTTTGGGCTCTATTTTGCTGAAGTTTGGAGAAAATATATTTTAAAGTAGTAATTTTTTAAAGAATGTGTGATTTAAAAGTAAGGAAAAATTTTGGGTTTACATGTATTATTAGTTTATTGAAAAATATGTGATTGAAAATGGGTTTTGAAAAAATGTATTTTTGATTAAAAGAGCCCAAACAAGGGCTAAGTCAAAAGAATTTTGTCAGTTGGGGAGACAAATGCCACATATATATTTTTTTAAAGGAACTTCAAAATCATATTTATGTAAATAATTTCACCCTTCTAAATAGGAGACTTCTCTTATTTGAGAATCACAAATCCTCTAAAGACCCTTGAGTAAGCTAGCAGCTAAAGAAGAATAAGTTAATTATTAAGCAAGCATCCTACTTGACTAATTCTTCTATAATTGATTTTAATTACTTATATAGAAGTAAGATTTGTCAAACAGATTCAAGACATGAGAACCTCGGGAGGTCAGACATAAGAGCTTTTGGTGAGAACGCTTGAGGTTCTATCAACACCCTTCGGCAACAAGTTTTCATGGAGGCATTTCCACGCAAAACAAGCCACTATTTAGACTCCATTTTTTCAAAATATATATTTTCAAAACTCATTTTTAACCACATGATTTTTCATAAAATAATATTACACATTAATCTAGAACTTTTTCTAATTTTTTAATCACAAATTCTCCAAAAAAAACATTATTCCAAAATATATTTTCCCTTAAATTCTCATTAAAATAGAGACCAAACAAGGGTGCAGGAAGGTTATCAGTTTAGATTAGGGTTGGAGAAAACTCTCAAATCGAACCGAGCAATTCTTCTTAAGTTAAATACCTAAACAAGTATCTGAATAAAAAATCGACGGGTTCGGTTCGGTTCTAGATCAAGAACCAAATAAGAATCAAATCTCCTTAATTTTTAATTAATTTATTTTAAATAAATCAAATTATTTTAGTTTTTCTAAATAAATTTGCTAACTAATTAATTTAGCTCAAACCCAGAAATATGATTTTCCTACTTCTAATTTTCAGTTCAAAGTCAACTTAATCAAATTAACCTAAAATTTATCCAAATCTATTACTCTACCGTAGTATCATTTCTATAGTTCTGGAGATATCAAATTGAAGCTCAACAACGACTCACTTAATTATTGTGAGCTCGTTATCTTCTTCTTTCTGTGATTTTAATAATCAAATTTATGAAGAACTCAATAAAGAAAGACGCAAAAGACACATAAGATTGAACTACGTTATTTTGTAAGAGTTAAGATTGAATATATCATCAGTTGAATTAATATAGCTTTGTAAATATTAAAAAATTTAATTATACTATGGAACCTGGGAATCGATCGAATCGAACTGAACCAAATGGAACCGAACTCGAACAGTTCCATAATTAAATTTGGACTCGATGGTTCCATTTACTAAATAACCAAAAATTTCGAGTCCGATTCAATTCTTGTTAGAATTGAATCGAACCGGATTATGTTCAACCCTAATTTAGATCCACAATGCCACGTGTATCAGCTATGCATGCCATTTTCACCTGTCTAGTAGCAATTGAGATTTGGAAGGCCGCTGGCTAGTGGAATGAGTTTAAATCTCATGTTCGTGGACTTTTGGGCACGTTATCACCGTTAAATTTGTTACGTATTGCATGCTTGATGAGGGTTCTATGGATGGAGAGAAACTAAGTGCTCCATAGCCCTGTGAGGCAGGCTGCAGTGGTTGTGACTGAAATTGCCAATCATTTAGGGGAGTTAACTGATGTGGAGAAGGTGAGTTCTTGTAGAGGATCAGTGGAATTTCGCTTTCTTTTATCGCGATGTGTTAACTGTGGTCCTTGTAACTTTATTTCACGGCACAGGAATAATGTTGCTCATTGTGTTAGTAGCCTGTGATTATGTTTCATCTGGAGATTATTGTTGGACACATTGTATTTCATTCTTTATCTCGAATGCATTTTTTGCCAAGATGATTAAATAGTCGCATTTGTTAAATCAATAAGAATCAAGCAGAGAGACTTATTGTCTCACAAAGATTTCAACCACAAAAAATTGATATTTAACATATTTTACTAAGGTTTTAGCAAGTCAATCATCAACTTTATTTGATGAGTCAGATAGTGAACAATGAACAATAGGAACTCCACCAAGTTATAGTTAACAACTATAATTTAATAAAACCATTGAATCTCAGTTAGATAACCATTCATTCAAAACTTCTTTTTCTCTTATTCATTTTCAACTACTCATTCTTACAATAAAATATCATTCTTCATGTAAATTCAAATTTTTTTTCTACTTCTAATATCATTCTCCAAAAATTACCACTCAAAAACTCATTCTTTCCAAGAGGCTTAAACTACATAAAACTACCTGGTAGTTCGAACGAATGACCATTAAGGGACCAAAAATCACATCAATAACCTCTTTCTGCGCTAGAAACCCCGCCTAAACCTATAACATTCAAACATTAACGTGTTAAAAAGTTTCTTAGTTTTAAAAAAATGATAAATTATACACCAAAATTTTCCTTAAAAAGAGCATATAATTTGTTTAAAAGGAAACTCAAAATACCTTCAATAATGCATCTGAGTTGTTACGCCATGTGGAACTTCACTAGAACGCAGTTGTGCAATATATATATCATTGGGACGTCCTACCGTGGGTGAAATGTATATTCTTTCATTAGCTATCTAATGGCACGACATCGACAATGGCAGGTTAAAATAAGTAACCTCTTCCGGCCCTATGGCGATCATTCCTCCCTTTAAGATATATTTCACGCTTCCACCAGCGTGAACCCAAGAACCAACCCATTCTCAATCTCTGGATTGACTCTTATCAAATGGTGCAATATTGAAAAAAAAAAAAAAAGTTCAGACTCAGTTTTGACATTATTAGCTATAAATAAAAACAAATAGAAAGAAAAAAGCAATAAGGATCTATTTGATAGCGTTGTGTTCCATGAAAAATGTCACATCCGATGAATTCGTTTTCTACCTTGGCTATTTGATACAAAAGTGAAAATGGAATTCGAATTCCAAAGTACAAACACTTAAAGCATGTTTTTGGCAAATTCCATAGAACTTGAATTCTTATAATTTTGGTGATTTTTTCTTTTCCCACTTGTATGAAATTGATTTGTCTTTTCCTCCTTTGCTATCAAATGGGCCCTAAGAGTTATGACTCTAAACACTTTTTGGCTATTGCACATTTCTGGTAGTGTCCTGCATCTGGACACTATACAGGGGTATTTTCCAAGTACAAATAGACTTATTCTTCTTTTATCCAATCAATCGAAATCAACATTGACCTACAAATCATATCTACATAATTAAAAGAAAGGAAAATTGTAGTAGAAGCCTCAAATCTTTAAAACACTTGTAGACTTTCCTCAAACCTTTGATTTGTGACAGCCGTCACCCCTAACCTTTACATACGCTGCAATGAAGGCTCTTTTGGATGAAAACCATCCAAACGCTCGTCAATTGACCGCCCAAATAAAAAATTGACCACTTTTAACCAAAATAGAAAAGAGTAAAATCGTCTAAACACTTAAAAATAATTTTTCATGCCTCTTTTTACGTGTTCACTTCCCTCCAAATGAAGAATACAAGTATAACCCTAATAAATTGTCTGTGAGTTGTTAGTTTCTCACTCTTTATCAACATCCTGAACCGAACGTAGAAATAATGGAGATGCCAGTGTGCAATTGTAGAACTCGTGCCCAGATAAAGACATCGTGAACTAACTTGAACCCAGGTAGATGATTTCTTACCTATCCACGAGAGATGGATCTGTAAGACTGTACATTCTTTCTTTGATGGGATCCCCTAATGTGTCAAAGATCGAGAGAGCTAATACCTAGTCTTCTAAGGTCGAGGTGAGGATTGAAAGCTGAAATTAGGCAACTCCATTTGAATGGAGGTGGGGTATGGAAGATTTGGTCTTGTGGGTTTGTATGTGGAATGCTTGTGAAGTGGATTTGTAGTTAAATCTGTGTAGGTTTTTTTCGCGTTTTTTAGCTGGATCTGTAATCATCCTTTCTTCATGGTGTAACCTACTTCCTCTACATTAATCAAGGCTTAAATGCAGTTGCAATTTTGTGGTGTTCTGTACATATTTCACTGTTAACATTGACTAATTTTGTTTTCAAATAAATATGTAAATATTAACACCCAAAAGTTTGGTAAATCTTGCAGTGAAAGCCCCAAATGTTAAGTATATAGTGCAAATAAAGCCCCCAACATTTCTCATGTTGTGCATTGTTAGTCTCATACCTTTGAAAAAATGGCAGAAAATGCCCCTTTTCTATTCAATTGTTTACAGTAAATACCCCATCACTTTAACAACAGTTCCAGTACAAAATTAACAACAGCTTCAAGTGTAGATGCAACATAAAAATGTGTATACATTGGTAGCACACATTAATTTTATGAAATCCAATTATAACATCACAAATAAAACTTCAACTCTCGAAATGAAGAGTATTTTAACACTTAACACATATATTGTCATGGTACCATTCCCGCAACATCAAATTTTAGAATACATTCCAAAAAGTTCAATTACATTCCTACATCCAATACATCTAGATTACACTGCTTTGTACTTCTTTCCCTTTCACTTCTATGACTGTGACTGTGGTGCATTAGTAGGCTGTGTCTGTACAGTGCATGTTCTCTTATTGTGTCCAGCTTCTCCACACCTTTTACACGTCATTTGCATGCCTATTCGGGTCATTTTAACTCCAACAGGTGGTTCGGTCTAAGATCTTTTTCTGAGCTTTTTAGGCATGCCTGCCTGTCTGCTTTTTCTTCACTGGTGGCTTCAATGGGTGTTTCCCTAATGCAGGCCAAAGTTTAAAACCTGACATTGGCTGAATCACAGGGTTGTATGCCATTAGATATCTCTCCTTGTAACATCCATTTACAAATTCATCTATGTCTATTCTCTTTGACAACATGCCAGAAACGACATGTGCACAGGGAATTCCACTCAGTTGCCATTTCCTACATGCACATTCTTTTGTCACCAAATCCACACTCCACCTCAAACCATCTGTGTTGCAAACTTCAAAATTTTGATTACCTGCATAATCCGCCCTTATAAACCTGGCGTCTGATTTAGCCTTCTCAATTATCCCTACAATTTTTGGACCATCTGCACGATCCCACCTTTGAGCTGCCTTCCTCTTTGCAGCCATCTGTGTCATTTGTTGATGCATTATCTTATTCAACATTGTGATTATAGGCTTTTCCCTAACTACAACGATGGAGGCATTAAAAGCTTCGCACAAGTTATTCAACAAGATATCGCACTTCGTATGCTCCTAGAAATGAGATCTCGTCCATTGAGCTGCAGGCTTTTCCTTGAACCAAGAGAAGGCTTCTTCATTCACCGTCTTCATCTCATTCATAACTACATTCTACTTTGGTACAGTTGTAGACCTAGCCGCAGCCCAGAACAAATTCTTCAGAGTTAGCCCTTTATATTTGAGAGTGAAATTGCTGTACAAATGTCTGGCGCAGCACCTGTGTTCTGCACCTTCACAACACTGATTTACGGCTTCAATCAATCCTTCTGCTTCTCAGATATGAAAGTCCAAGCCCTACTATTATACATTTCTATATCCACCACCAAAAGTTCTATAAACCAAGTACAGTTGGCTCTATTCTTTGCATCCACGACTGCCCAAGCAACTAGGAACATACAATTCTCACCGTCAATTCCCACTGCTGCCAATAATTGACCCCCATGTGTAGTTTTCAAAAAACACCCATCAAGTCCTATCACAGGCCTACAACTAGCCTTGAAACCTTCTTTACATGGCCCCAAGCATACATACATTTTCTTGAATACACTTCCTGTTCCCTCAACCTGCATAGTACTTCCAGAGTTAGTTTTCTTCAACTCTTCCCCACAATCCCAAAGAATCTTGTATTTCCCTCAACAAGTCCAATCACAACTGCTGCACATTTTGCTCTTATTCTATAAAACTGATAATTGGATATTTCATACATACAGTCTTCCTTCACTGTTTCCATGAAACTGTTCATGGATAACTTCGGATCCAACCTGAACTTATGTAGGTATTTCTTGGCCAAAAAACCCACATGGACCTTACTGTTTTGCCGGACCAACGTACAGCTATGTTTGCCCCAAATCGTGTTGATCCTTAAGCTGCTGTCTTGCTATTTGTAGGCATACAATTGCCATGGACAATTCTCTTGACATTTTACTCTTATCCTATGTGGTTCGTTCTTCACATATCGCAGTTCTCTTGCATTCTTCACGGAGTATTGTACAATAACCGGTCTCAAAATTTGTGTGTTCTCAAGCTTCATACCTGTATAGTGCAGTAGAACATTTCAAACATGTTAGTATATGTGAATAAAAGAACCTAAATATATGACAAATGAGTATCTGAGACCCCAAACCTTTGAAATATGAGCATCTGGGGCCCAAAACCTTCGAAAACTAAGCATCTGGGGCCCCAAAGCTATGATAAATAAGAATTTGGGGGCCCAAACGTTTTAAAAATAAGCATTAGGGGCCCCAAAGGTATTGTGCATAAACGTTTGAGTCCCCCCAAACAGGTAAACCAATCTGCAGTTGACTAACCAATCTAGAATTTAGGGTCCTTCATGTCAGTTGAAAGGTTGAACCAAACTTCCCTCCTGTTGTTACTTGTGGCACCCGCTTCATCACCACTTGACATACTTCTTAGGTCATCCGAGTCCCCGTAGTCTGAACTACTGTTTACTGCATTTACGTTTACATTTTGCTGATTAGGTCTCTCATTGCCTACATTCCCCAGCCTGAAGTCTAATCCCTCACTTGATCTGAAAAATGTGTCTTTACCTTGGTCGTCCTCTTCCATATCCTCCTGTTCGTATTCAAAATCGGAGAAATGTTCCAGGCCAATATCATTATCCTCTTCTTCCACCTCTGATTCATCACCAGAAGACCCAATGCCAGTATTCTGAGCATTAATGGCTTCTTCAACAGAGAGTTTAACAGGTGCATTTCCAAGATCTTCCAATCCTGTTGCACCCTCAAACGTGGGCTACTCGAATTGTGTGCTATAAGATCTTCCAATCCTGTTGCACCCTCAAACGTGGGCTGCTCGAACTGTGTGTCAACAGGATCTTCCAATCCTGTTGCATCCTCAAATTGCATGTTTTCATGATCATCCACTCCTGATGCACCCTCAAATGCGTATAATTGATCAACGGGTGAACGGGTGCACTTCCAATTGTTGATGGTTCAGCAAATCCAACCGGTTTATCATTTGCAACTTCTACTCATGCTTCATTTTCAATTGAACATGGTATATCAGAGGTTGACGTCTCCCATATTTGTTTCACCGACTGATCATTTGCACCTACCTGTGCCTCCACTATGTCTACATTGTCCATTACACTGTCTCCACTGCTATTCATACCATCTGACTCACGCAACTAGTCCTCTCCAAATTCATCAACCACGTAACAATCATCACCCTCTACCATGTCATCGAAAACCTCAACTACAAATGCAGATTTCTGTCCAACCTCCGTATCCTCATTGTTGACACACACTTTCCAAAATCTCACCAATTTCTATATCAATCACTATACATCCAGTTGGTACATTCTCATCCCACAGTAATTCCAACACTGTGGTATGTATCGGCAAAAAGTACATATCTGCAACTCTTGTAGGACCAACCCATTTTACAACATTCATGAAGTCTGCATCAGTAACTAACCAAAATGACCCCTCTGACAATCTTTTCTTTTCAAGCCTATAGATGTATCTCATTCGCTCTTTGTAACTCAGCATCTTCATTGCATTGTCTAACAGAAATCGGTTGAATAAATATGGATCCACGTAGTCAAGATAGTTGATCTTACCATGTTCATATACGTAATTTCGCATCTTACTGAAAATCATCCCACCATGGTTTAGGCGGATCGTGAAATAGGCGGAGTTCTCTCCTGAAAAGGGAAAACATTACATAAGGCTAATTAGAACAAATATAGATATCACAATAGAAATTCCTATGTACTCAACATTTTGTCCGTATAGTTCATTTCATGTAATTTTCAAAAACTCTATGTATTACATTCACCACAAACAATGAAAACACAAAAATCGATTACAAACAAGGGGCTATAGTACTTCTTTGTAACAATCTCAACATTCAGGTACATGAGTTTCTCAAAAATTCTATGTTTTCAAGATTTTTACTCTCTATAACTGCCAACGACGATACCGGCAAAAACGTACCATAGACCAATTTCCGTAGAGATCCCCTTAGATGGCACACAAATTCGACATCTCTGTCATCGACTTCTCCAACTTCAGGCGAGTTCATTATCCTTTTCGTCGCAAATCTTTCTTCTCTTCTTCCCATTAGTCGTGCACTAGAAATTCAAAAAACAAGTAAAAAGGAAGATAAAAAGGTTTTTTAAGTGTTTGGACGATTTTACCCTCCTCTATTTTGGTTAAAATGGTCAATTTTTAATTTGGGCGATCAACTGACGGGCGTTTGAACGGTTTCCATCCAAAAGGACTTTTACTGCAACGTATGTAAATGTTAGGAGTGACGTCTGCCATAAATCAAAGGTTTGAAAAAAGTCTGTAATTGTTTTAAAAATTTGGGACTTTGCTGCAATTTTCCCTTCTTTAGATTTCAAAAGATCCAAGAGCATTATTAATGCGAAATAATACATTAAAATAACACATTTAACCCTTGTTTGAGCCCCATTCTTTTGAAAAATGCATTTTTCAACAGTATTTTGATATCATTTGAACACATATTTTTAAATAAAATAATATTACACACAAATCTAAAACTTTTCCTTATTTTCTAACCACGTTTTTCATTAATACACTATTCAAAAAATTCATTCTTTACCCAAAATAGGTCTAAACAAGGGCTTAATCTTCAATGAATATAAATTAAGGGAAATAATCATTGGGAATGAGCCATGCCGCTCTTTATAGTTGATAATTTTAGTTTAACTCAACTAGCATTTAACCTCAAATAAGCATCAATAAACTGCAGCCACGTGTAGGGGGAGTTATTATTTAGAGTGAAGATTAGGAAGAAAAGAAAATATTATAATTTCTTCCAAGAGAAATTGAGAAGAAAGATTCAAAATGGAAAGGTACGATTCACAACGAGTCCACAACTACAAACTAGGTATTTATTTGTTCTGGCACAGCAAAATGTTTATATATTCTAATTCCAAGAAATGAACGAAAAGAAAAGAGAAATGGGCAGGTGATGAAAATTAGTTGATCTATGAACACACATGGCAGGAAGATAAGCAAATTAATAAATGTATGTGAAATATAATTAGTTTTAATATTACAATAGAAAAATTTTCAAATCAGCATCCAAAAACTCAAGTTAGCAAATATACATATGAGGCATACCTTATTTCCTATGCCTTTCATACCAACAGTTCTTTTGCTGAAATTTCCATATGGGGAACCTTATCATTTGTGTCGAAACAAAAGTTCCCATTAACAATTATTAGTCTGCCTAGCCTCTTGAGAATGAAGAATTCATAGGGCCATTTTCTTTCACCAAAGGAAAAAATGAAGTAGAACTACATCTGAATCTGATTTCTATTTTAGTGGTAGCAAAAATATGAACTTTGTTGTTTGACTTGTATTCCTTCTAGAACACTGAAGTCAAGTGTTTAACTCTTAGATATGTGTCCATTGAATGAACAAGTCCGACAATGAGAATATATTCATTTGGTTAAGATTTAAACATTGACTAACAAGTAAACTAAAATAAGTAAGATAAGCAAAAATGTTTTATTTAGTAGGGGTGGAAGATAAATAGTTTGGGCCCTTCCCCAGTCGGTTTCAATTATGAATTTTTTTCCCATAAGACCATTCTTCACATGTCAACTCAAGAACAGAATTGGACAATTACCAACAATTTAGGTTGAGTTCCGTATTCTCCAAAGTATTTGTGGCTCACTTCAAAAGTAAAATTACAAAATAAAATAAAAATGAAAAATTGTAGTTTTTAGATACTGAATTTTTTGTTTAAAGATTTATTCAAGAAAAGTTTAGCAAAAGAAAGATAACAACAAATAACATGAGGAACAGATGGTACAAAACTATAAATCAGAAGTGCTATGTCCCTGGCTGGCTAATACAAAAGAAATTCTTACGGAAATTGGTGGCTATATTATAAATTTCAACAATGTAATCTTTCACTAATCAACCATTATTTAAAATCTTTAAAATCCCGAAAAAGATATTTTCCATTCATAGCCCAAATGGGACAAATCTAAATGTATAGTTCTCCAACAGATTCATAATGGATATGTTTTACCTGATTGAGTGTAAATCGTAGGGAAGAAATGAGATCTGAATACACGTCGAAATCAACCCAATGACATTGTTGAACTTCTATTTACTTTTTTATTTGAATGGCATAAATTATGTTCCTATGACATTATTTTGCCCTCAAATATATTTAGATCATAATATTTTATGATATGTTCAATTCCAAAAAGTGGAGACTTTCAAACACTATTTGTTAGGAGGAATTTTACATTAAAAATTTCAAATGCAGTATAAATAATTAAACCCCCTATGTCAAGAAAACTAAAAAATTAACACTCAAAGAATTAACAAGCAGGGAGAATTTAGAATGGTCAAAGCATATTTCAAGCAAATTTATAAAGTATGAGAAAACTAGAAATTAACAATAAAGAAACCGAAAAGTTACCTTGAGAACAAGAGAGGAACGAACGGAGGCGAGAGAGAAAACCAAACCCAGAAACCCTAGACTTTATATGCTTTCAAACACTATATATTTGTTAGGCCCGTGTGTTGCCCTTTTTTCTTTTTGGTGGAAATCACATGTGAACTGGCCTTTGAAGTATACAATGCAAACTTCAGTCAGGAAGATTTTTTAAGCATACTTCAAGTATCACGTTTTATTAATTAAATATTATTTTAATATTTAGTGATTAATATTCATAATAAAATAGTAATTATTTTAATTATGGTGCGTTCCGTTAAATATCTGAATTCAAACTTTCAATATTTTCGAAACCGTTTTCTCTCTCATTCTTCCTTCACTGCACCCACTATCTTCGATTACTTCATTTCCACTCCGATCATTTTTACTACAATTTCGGCCTGTAATTTCTACTACTTTCTGTATTACCAATCAAAACCGTCATCTTCATTATACAACCCATTAGTTATTGGTAGAACGTATTCACGACAACTGAAGTTTCTATTGACAACGTAAAATGGTGAAATCGAAGGGGGTAGAAAGGGCGATTAATGTTGATGAGTGGTGACAAAGAAGTTGCAAGAGGAAGGATGAGGGAAGCCCCGAAAAAACCCTTTGAAAAAGCACGTAGTGACCGTGCGGAAAGGGTTATCGAAGAAGTTTATTTTGTCCCTCCCCCCGTGATATATATGTGTACAAAAATGGTTGGGTAGTATGTATTGAAGATCAATTGGAGAAATGTGATAATTACCCTATTCGATTCTATACGTGATTGGAATGAGTTAGGGTTTTTGAATTGAATCTCATTTGTCATTGAAATTTATTCTTTCTTTTTAACTTTATGAATAATTTGTATTTTTAACCATGAAGAAGCTACACGTGACCATGATGTGCGAATGTGACCAAGGTTGTTATAAATCTGTGGCTCACTGCATAACAGTGTGTCATGCCTGTTATTGGACTAGAATGTGTTGGGGGTTTTGCTTTTCTAATGTGTTATGGAATGTATTCCCAATCCATTTTATTGTGAATCTTGACCATGATGTGTTCTGAATAGGTTATCTGTGACAATGATGTGGGAATGTGTTATGAATTTGTGGCTTGACTGTATAAACTGTTAAAAAATATGTTATGCCTTTGAGCTTATTGGAATGGGTTGGGGGTTTTGCTTTCGTAGTGTGTTATGAATTTATGTTTTGGAATGTATGAATATGTGACTATGATGGATTGCGTACCTATGACTATGTTGTGTGAATGTGTTATGAATATGTTGTGTGAATGTGTTATAAATGTGTGACCATGATATCTTCTGTATGTGTTATGAATCTGCATATTGTGACTATAATGCCACTAAAATTTTATAAATATGTAGTTTCAGTGAGACTTTATTTATGTCTGTGACCTTGTTAAAACATGTGTATTATGTGATTTTTCATACAAGCATTTAACACTGTGTCTACACGTAAAGCCGGCTTCGGAATTCAAAATACTAGAAAATAGCTAGTTTCCAAGCAAGATTACAACCTCAGTCAGTAAATGTGTTCTAACCACCATTCAGACATTGTTAATTCAATGACAGAAACTTATATTTCCCCTTTTCTTGGATTGCCATGAAATTGTTATACAGCCACAATTGATTCACTACTTTCTTCTGTGGCAAGTTCATCACCCGAACGACCAAGAAATGTGGTTTTATGTGTCTAGGCGATATGTCGTGTTCTCTATCTCGGAGTTTTGTTTAGTCACGGGACTGAGGTATTCCAGGGATAGTGATACACAAGTGTTTGAAAGTAAATAGTCACGATTAAAGGCAAAAAAAATTTCTCAAGTGCATAGTGTAACCCACGAAGACGTAAAGTCCACTTTCATATTTGCTTGCCAAGTGCAAGACTTAGATCTTGTTGAAGCCCTTCCAGATAACGATGTTGCTATGATTGGGATGCTGTATTTCATCACTACATATCTATTTCCCAGAGATTATAAGAAGGTTGTTGACCACTTCCTATTCGTGCTCGTTGAGGATTTCTCTGCAATGAGTCAGTTTCTGTGGGGTAAGTTATTATTTGAAATTACGTTGAGTGTATTGAAAGATGGGTTGAGTAGGAGGAACTCACACTACAAGCTACGAGGTATGTTGGTAGCCTTTCAAGCGTGGATATATGAGACTTTTCCAAGCCTTGACGGAGTTGTGGTCACACGAATTTCAAGGATGCATCCCCGAATCAAGAACTGGATTGCAGACGAGTAATCATCGACTGCCAAGTTGGAAGGACCTGACTGCTTCTCTAATCCTAATGTAAAGTTTCAGTAAACATCATATATATAGTAATCATCTGTTGACATTAAATTTCTCTAATCTATATTGTTTTACAGATTGAGATTTGTGACCTGGAACCCTCGAAAACTGAAATGGTAATGTCATACATGAATGGCGTCTAGTATAAGAAGCCAGTTCAACTGAAGTTCTCATGAGACAACCGCAGAGATAAGAGTAGGATAGAAAGGTCAGCTGACCGTGCTGGTACGAGTTGGAAGTCAGGTCCATCAGTGCTCTTGCTAACAGACAGCAGTGTTCGATAAGCTCATGTTCCCGACAATGACAATGATGATTTTGTTTATCCTCCTCCAATATGGCAGGAGACATCTCCCCATAAAAAATCCCTAATCGAAGAATGCTCGTCAGCTGCTCATCATTCTCCAAAGGAACAACAGTCTCGTGAGGCACAATGTGGGAGATGTAAGTTGTTATTTTAGTCAGTTGTAAAACAATTATATTTTTTGGTTACAGACCACTAGTCTCGGTCACATGTGGTTTTGATCAGGTCACATGTGACACATTCATTCTAATAGTGTGTAATATATGTTTCTATTTGGTCACAAGTCACATATAATAAGTTTATTTATTTTATCAGGAGATTGAGGAGTTGAGGTCACAAATATCTTAACAGAAGTCCTATAATGAAGTGTTAAATGTGGAGCTTGATGACATTAAGTCTTAGATGTCATCAGTGAACGCTGAGCAAACGACAAAGATGAATTGCATAAT